CGTAGCGTGGGAAATAGTTGTTAATCATCGGTTTAATTCACGGTACGAAACACAATCTTTCAAACGTATTGATATCCCCTACTACTAAATGCATCACTCACGGCGCCGGGAATACACAAGTGACACGGTATCATGTCTAACTTTTGAATGTAAGCTTAACTTACAGTATAATTTTGAATTAAAATTGAAGATTGCTTTTTAAAAGTAACTACATCCGTAAATAATAATAAATATCTATTTAATAATTATTAATAAGGTGCGTTTACTTACCGTTTTTCGAAAAATATGAAAAAATATTTTTTTTTTTGTCGAGATTGCTTTGCTTTCTTGGATGACATTTTAAAGACTAAATCATGAAATGAGGGAACCAGGGATTACAGTTGTCTATTTAAACAACCAAAACTAAAACAACTGACAATCATCCACTGACAACTCAGGAAAATAATCTACAAAAGGCACCGCGAGAAGATAACCGTTGCGCGGTACTACAAAGGCTGAAGCACTTTTCAAAGCCGAAAACGCTTTTGTTTAACCATAGCACCGCTAACACGCGAAATTGACACTTTGCGCTTAAGCTTGCTGCTGCCAGGGTAGTCACGTGATCTGTATGCGGTATAAAATCAAAACATTGGATGCGGGAATAGCGAAATTGTACAGTAACCATGAACAGATGCTCTCTGGTTAAGAAATATATTTGACAATATATATATGAAAACTAATTCAAAAATGTGCCTGTAGTATATAACTGGCATTCATGTAACACTTTGTCGCTGTACATTAAAAAAATGTTTGCTGTAAGCTGTGATTTTATGCTTTATTCTTAGCCTTCCGACCAGTGATTGCCACGGGTCGCGTAGCGCACAGCGTACGGGAATCATTCACAATCCCCATAGACTAGGCCTACTTATCTTTAAAAAATGTCCCAAGTTTTACCATTGATGTATTGGCTTAACCTCTCCGACATAAATGTTGGAACATTTGTCAGTGATTTGGTAAAAGAAATTTCACTTCTAAAAATACAGACACTGCAATTCTGATGTCGTTTACAACAGACATTCAGCGATTTACACTCGCTTCGGCCATCTTTACAGTGTATTAACTCGAGCGTTCAAAACAATAACAAACTCAATAATACCGCATACAGATCACGTGACTGATAGGAGCGTCAATTCCCAGCTCACACAGTTTACTGTTCAGTCAAGTAGAACGTGAGCGTCCAATCAGCGCTAAAGCCTAGCAGTTCCACTTGGTTGGTTTTCCGATGTTGTTTTATTTGCTAGGCTGCTTGCATGAGGTTTGAGGCAAGAAATATGTGATGATATCTCGCGAAAAAAGTAAGAATTCGGGATGGGCGGATATGTACGTTTGACGCTGGGCGGAAGGCATTAAATTTTGCTTTAGACTGGGCGGTAGACTTTTAGGCAGGGCGGCCCCGCCCGGCTCCGCCCTGCACAATTACATCCCTGCAAAAATGTCTATCACAACCAGACAAAAATCCCCTTTCTGATTGGGTTAGAAAATTGAAAGTTGCAAATGAGCAACCTATCAGGACAGATCACCCACATTAGGGCACACAGACAAAAATTATTAGATTATCACTCTTTAAACAAAAAAATGATGAGGGTGGGTGGTTTTCTTTTCTTTTTTTTTTAATCGGAACAGAATATTACTTCTTTTATCAAAGAGGGGACTGTTTTAATTTGGCAACAATATTGTAAATATTGTATAAAAACTGGTTAAATTTTATGTTTTTATTTAAGGAAATGTATTTTGAGCCACAAAATTGCATTGTTTTCTTTATGCTGTTGGACTAAATGATGCGGCAACATAAAAAAATGTTTATTCCCGCATCAATAATTCCCATATTTTTGACACAGGCGGGAGTGATAATCTAACAATTTTTTCTATGTGCCTTACGCAAAACTTTTTTAATACCTTATTTAACGAACTAATTTTTATTTTTAGAAGGGTGGGGACAAAATGTTTTTTTTTAGTACAGTACTGGCCAGAATTATCGCAAAAATCACAACGCATTTTACCCGTTGCCTTTGTGTTGCGTTTGCATTGAATTGCGTTGCGTTCACATTGCGTTAAAATGAACGTTGAAAATTTGTTGTTTATTTAACAAAACCGTGTCCGCGTGTCAGTTATTGTTGATAGTTAATTCAACACTAAACCGATCTAGCGACGGTGATGTTACAATGATTATCAATAAACAACGTTGATTAATTTTGGAGACCAATGTATTGTTAAGATATATATATATTATACAGAGTAGGAATCTTACAACATTTATCATTATATTGTGTTCTTTTGGTGCATTCGCTAGGCCTAGGCTAAATAGGTTAAGATTAGGCCTAGTTTACAACAAGTGATGTCGAATGTAGAGTAGGTCTATTGATATTAATTATTACAAACGGCCTAGCTGAGCACCGTATGTCTATTCTGCTGCAGAATGATATGATTTGGAGTATTATTATTTTCAATTTCGTATTAACTAGCCTATGCACAATAATTATATACAGTACCTTTTCCCCTTTCAATAGATCAGCCTATCATTAATCAAAATACAGTGCCAATCCAGTGCATACATGTGAACAACAACAACAGAGACCTGGATGGATTGACGCCGATGGCTTTGCTGCCTAGGCCTACAGTAGCTTGCTTGTTCGTTCGATTTTGATCCATCATACAGAATATAACAAAGTTTTTAATTTACGTTTCAACTATGTGGAAAATATATGAATATATTTATATAATTATTATTTATTTAACTGTAGTATAGTAGACAGTATCTGACTGACTTGTTAGTCTGCACTCATTTTCAAGCGTAGCAGTACACTGAGTCTCAGGGTAGTAGTGGTCCTCCTGGAGAAATACCACGATGAAACCAGATCTTTCAATTACTTTAAAATAAAAATTGCAGAATGACTAATAGACTACCAAACGTCATTACACAGTGAAGTATAAACACACAGCATATGATTCTGATACCACCAAAATGTCAATGACCCTGTTGACTGGAGGACCTGGTTGCAGATCGCGCAAACTCCGACGTGTTATTTTTTTTCGTTGTAACGATGACTAGAAGTCTGTGCTGTCACAAGGCTGATATTTGTAACGTTATCGTTGAACCTCTTGAATTTTATATAAATATTACCTGGCTATGGATGGGTGTTTTTTTTTTTAACTGAAGGTTGGTTAAAACACAACGGTAAATTACATGGATACGTAACAGGGCAGTGTTGACATGTACTGTATTATAAGGTTGACCTGAAGACTGTCTAGCTGGGCATAGGCCTAGGCTACGCGGCACTAATCCTAACAATAGGCCTAGATATAATAGAGTTATTTGAGGAGATATATTGGTGAGTCATTTTGCTATTTTTATTTTCTTGTTACTTTTTGTTTTTTGTTTTTGTTTTTTTCTGTTATTTAATTGAGTGGAGCATCCACATTTACGTCGAACACCTGTCAAGCTCGTGTCGTATTCCTTTTCAATGTCGTCACAATCAAAATAGACCTGGGCCTAGCTAGGCTATCTTCAACCCGTCTCCAATCTTCACTTAATCACGTTATTTCTTTACTACAATTAAGTAAGTGGCTGTTTATTTAGAAACTGTTAAAGCCTATTTATTTACTGTACAAACTGTTAATACAACACTTTACGTTGAATTCTTAATAAACAATTTCTAATGAGGTGAACATTTTCAAGGCCAACGAAAACGCGTTGTCAACGCCAACGCGCTCTCAACAAAAACGCAACGGGTTGAATGCGTTTAAAATTTGGGATAATTCTGGCCAGTACTGTAAAATAGCAAAATGATTTCACCAAAGCATCTAGGCAGAGCTGAAAATAAAAATAACATTTCTTTGAAGAATGTAAACAGCATAGAAATTAGATTGATAAATGCTTGAAATTGATATAATTAAGGAAAAAGTATGTCTACTTTATGAATACTTACCTGGTAGATTAGTATCCACTCATAGACTACCAAAATCACCATTGATTTGTGTAATTTTACTTTTTGAGATTTCAGGGAAGCAGATGGCATAATAAAAAATAAATAACATTTTCTTTTCCTGAAATTTCCATTTTTCGTAGTGGACGCCAAAGTAATATTCTATTTTTATTCGAAATCACCATTACTGGTGGTCAGATAGTGTGCTAAAGAAGGTATAATAAAAGTCCTCCCTTAAAGACAGTGCTTACAAAAAGACTTACCCTTGATGTACATATAACTTCCCTCAGGTTAATGTTCATCCAATTGTCACAGGCTACAAGATGGCCATTGTAGGTTTCTCCATTCTTTAACTCAACTAGCTAAAATAAAAATAATACCAAAAAAAAAAATGTGTCAATATCATTAACTCAGGAATAGGTAAAACTAAATGAAGGCAATAGTAATATAATAATAATAATATGCACCAGCTTACATTCACAAAACAATGTATTTTGTTCAGTTAGATCATGTTTAAAAATAAATAAAACATCCATCGGTATGGGAGAGCGTGGTATGCACAGCGGACATATTACCACCCAGTTTACCGATGCATGTAAACCTTCTCCAGCAGTCTCCCTCCTCCTCCTCCCCTGATAATGAGGCCATACCCTCATCCTGAGCAAACACAGGCAAATCAGGAAGATGTTCAGCTGGAAGAGGAGGGGACAATCGGCCGCAGCCAATAATCCCGCAGAAGCTTGCAAAGCAGCTTGCACTGCCGCCAAAATCGCCTGCATGACCTCAGGGGCTAAAACAACCCCCGGTGGCTGGGATCCTGTAGACATGGGATCCGAGAGCACAGCAGATGGCAGCGCGGAAAACGGCGGAGTCGATTTCGACGCGGACGCACACACTGCAGGAACCGGTTCCCCCGGTCTGCAATGATCAGCCTGCCAAGCTTTGATAGTTACTAATCGCGATGGCTGCCAATGAACGCATATCTCACAAGGAGAATTGGTGGAACACCCTCCTGCAAGCAGGGCAAATCTTGTGGTTATCCACCTTCGGGCTAGGCCGAGGGCCCCGACACTGATGACACTCTGACTTGCCAGCCATGATGACAGCATACAATAAATCCACAGCACAGAACTATAAAATCCAAGGCTATAAAATCCAAGGCAATAAAATCCAAGGCAACTTCCACTATAGACAACTCTCTATAAAAAATCGAGGTGCTTCTATTTTGTAAGATCGAAAAAGAATGAAGAAGTTGCATGGTTGCTGGGCCGCTTGTGCTTGCCGCCAGGAGTTGACTGTTCTATTATTTTTCGAGGGGTGTTTCTCATGAGAGAAAGAATAGGCAATTAGTCGGTTTATTCAGGTAAGTATTCACGAAGCAGACACAAGAATTGATATTTTAATTATTGTGAGCCAAAAAATTTATATAATAATAATTAAACAAAAGAAACTGAGAAATATCTGAAAATGCCTTTCCTTCAAATAGAAATCAGGATTGCCGATTACAGTTAGCAAAAGATTTGGAAGATTAACTGGTGAGACAAAAATCAAGCCAAGGACCATGTTCAAGACCAGGAATAAAGCCAGCCCTAAATTAGACACATGGTATGATGAGCATTCATGCACTCTCGACAAATTAGTCAGAATGCTGGGAGAACTAATGTAAAGAATTGGAAAATCACATGAAAAAACCTAATTGTTTTAGGTGTTCCAGAATATTAGGAAAGTAAATTATTATATTGTACTGTATTCTGGAAATAAAAAAATAAAAAGAAAGAAATATAGATACCTCCGAGATCAGTCTAGCAATTGAAAAAACCCATAAAACCGTCGAAGGTTTAACTATAGATAAGGACAGATTAGATTTTCGCCCATATATGTTAAATTTCATAGAGCAACAGGAATGACAAATTTTGGATGTTAAGCTCTCTACCTTTCAATTAGTGTGGCATTTTCAGCATAAAGGTGTGGGCAGATAATGGAAGAAAATGACTTAAAGTTCACAGACATAGACATGAAAGAACTAGGATTATTCCTCAGTTTGACAGAAGCTGACACCAAACTGCAAGTGATACCCCAAAACTTCAAAGAATTTTGCCCCACACGTTGAAAATTTGGCGGCTGCCAACATTTACAGGATCAGGTGGAAATCCCCACATAGAAACTAGGTGGAATACATGAACAGGACAAGTGAGTAACCCAAAAGAGGAGACGCTAAAGCGATGGTCATACTAACAATGGTTAGCCTGGGTTCCAGGCCCTAATTTTGGGTTACTCACTCTTTATTGCACTTAGTGCACGCCATACCAATTTAATTGGTGTCCCATACTCGATCTTTTTTCCCGGATTTTGCCTGAAAAATAATGTTGTGTTTGTAATGGTATGCCCTCTAGCCTAAGCTTTAATTATTTTTGCCATTACTCACAGACTGACTAGGGTCTATTCTAAATATTTTTGGCCCGTTTTATTAGGGAGGACTATTTTTTAGTCATGCCTAGTCGACGCAAGTGACTCAGTGGCTCCGAAAATGTGAACCTTGTGATTGAAATTGTTTATTTCAGTCCGGCCATTTTTCCAAATACGGAATATAAGATTATGTCATTCTTTTGGCATACTGGTACCTGCATTCAATGTTTTACATGTCACTTATTCCATCTCTAAATTAACTTTCTCATTGGTGACGCTGTCCAGAATGAGAAAAATTATAAAAAATAATAGAATTGTGGCAAGCCTATAGCAATGGTGTACAGCATAAAAGAGGTACTGAAGAGTCACATACGTACCTAAAAGAACCAAGTGTATAAGCAGAGAAAAAGTGGTGCGATAGGGTAATTGTTTGACAGTGGACGTGGCAGGTGTCCTGATGATATGGTAGAATAGGGCTCTCAGATGAAGGCTCATTGAAAGAGGCATATACAAGAGAAACGTCAATGACATAATTATTGGAGCGAAAACTAATGAGGAAAATCAAGGACTGGAGAGGTTAGAGAAACATAATGCGCTCCATGCAGGATATCAGCATAGCAATCACCAGAATTATATACTGTATAAAAAGTCACTATTGACAACAAGCTCCTCCCAATCACCCGATCCTCGATCTACAAATCTGGATAGAATGTGCCAACTGGGAAAGGAAGACCGACTTGCAAAATATTTCATCACATTTATGAAACACATGGCCAATAGAAAGAACATATATACGGTAGGCAATCGACATTATCATTAGAGATTAAATTTCAGATATTGGTGGCGGACGTGGTAAGAGTACTTAGGAATATTTCAGAGCACGTACAAGATGACGGGAGAGTGCAGGTTATCAATAGGATGTAAGCAAGTGGGTAAGAGTTAATATCCGATGATGTATCGTAAGAAAGTTTAAGTATAAGACACGAAACGCAAAAAACGTTCGGAATAAAAAAAAATAAGTTCAAATAAAATTGTATTTCTAATTTCTTTTTTGAGCATCTCTGACTATTATAAAAACAAGATATAAATAAAGTCTCATCTTTCTTATTGATAAACAACATGTAAAAAATGGGCCCAATTTTCTAACCTCCGTTGAAAGTTGAATGCACATTAACATACATTTAACCAGAATCGATAAATTTACATTACTGAAGTTTATTAAGTATGACTGCAAACACGTTATTCATTTCACATAAATATATCATTTTACTGATTTGTTTACGGTCACGTAAAAATATATTCCACTTCCTTTCCGAAATGCACGGATGGATTTATAGTTTTTGTGAGGGTATCCTATTTCCCGAGCAGGCTGTACTTTTCTTTTCAGTCTTGGCTCTTCCTCTATAATAACATAAGAAAGCAAGGATCAAGTAGCCTAGGGGAGCTAATAAGGCGTCTAATTTAGGCCTAGGGAGGGCCTAAGGCTAGGCCTAGCCTAGCGGCCCCTGTCTCTGAAAGGCCAGGCCTAGCCCTAGGCCTATGTATGACTAGGCCTAGGCAGGATGCCTAGCCTAGCCTAGATTCAGCTAGCCACTACGCTTAAAGGCCCTAGGCTAGGCCTAAGTTAGTACAACTCACCATGGGATGATTCTGTGCGGTCCTCAGGAGCGATAACGGAAGCTGCAAAAACAAAATGGGTAATTATAATTCTAATTTAACAAATCAACAACTGAACTGAATACATTTATTGCTTTTGTGCAGCTACTTACCATTTTCCCAAGTTCTTTTTTCGCGGTCTCGAAAAACGATTTTGAGACGAACGTAACAGTGATAAATGTCGCCCTCTCACAATGTCGTGCACATTGCCCTTAATATTAGGAATATTTGTTATAAATTCCATTGTTAAAATAATATATTTCCCTTAAAAGACACTAATTGTTTATATATTTCAGTTAACAAACTTAATTCAATGGAAAAATAATTTTTATTATCTAGAAATATTTATAAAAATAATACATTTCTAAGTAACTTGTAAGACATTAGGTCAAAGGGTACGCACATGTGTTCTTGTTTACTTTTGGATCAATACACACTGGGTGAAATTGGAAGCATACTTTTTCATGATTTGATAGTATAATTAACAGAAATGACCTCAAGAAATAAGGATGTACGTCTTAATAGTGAAGATGATAGTTCTCCATCGTTAAAACATAATGCGAAAAAGAAGTTTAAATCAAGTGAAATCAGTGTGAACATTAATCCGATTTATTTTGAAAAGGAGCTTATGAAGCAATTCAGTGAATCTTTCAAGAAAAAGAATGTGTTTAGTTGTGGTAAGTTTTTATTGAAATCACTTGATACACATGGTTGCAGCTATTGCTTGGGTGTTCCACCCGGTCCTAAAATAATTCCTACGCGGCTAATGTAACAATAGCCACAGCCTTTTTTGAACAAAAATACATGAAACTGTGGTAGATTTCTTATTTCCTCTCCTTAAGATTTTTGTACATTTTTTGTTAGAATTGTGAACACAAAGCAGAATATTTTAATTTAATGTATTTATCAACAAATTTAAATGCAAATTTATCAACATTGTATCTTGTTTTTGTAGAAGGCAGTGGTACACAGGTATTTACTGAACCATTCACTTGTTGTGTTTTGCCAAACTTTGTGAAGAACCAGGAGTTCCTTGAAGATCTTCAGGATGAGCTTCTAAAACTTGACTTTCAAGAGAAGTCTAATGACCTCTATAAATTCCATCAGGTATGATAGCTTATAGGTTTGAGACCATAGTTTTATAAATGTATGCATATCGTATTAGGGCAAATAGAAAAATTTTTTAGATTATCACTCCCGCCCGCGTCAAAAATTCAGGAAATATTGATGCGGGAATAAAAAAAAAAAAAATTTCCGCATTAATTATTTCAACAGCATAAAAATAACAATGCAATTTTGTGACTCTCTTCAATAAAAACAAAAGCGAAATAATCTATTGTTCCGATTTAAAAAAAACAAAAAAAAACACCCTCCCTCATCAATTTAAAAAAAAAAGAGAGATAATCTAATAATTTTTTCTATGTGCCCTTACATTTGGCAATAATAATATTACTGCTTGTCTCAAGAACTCTTGTGATTGTTAGAGTATTTTTAATATCTTTCAGAGTCAAGCTTTACAAAATCTCTCCAGTCCGAACATCTTGGCATTGAAGTAAGTTCAAGAGTAGCATTGTTCACTTGCTTGCATACTTGTCTTTGCTATACAGAAAATAGTTCATATATTTTTCTAGGCAGCGAGTGTGTGCTATCAGGCAAGAACAAGATTTGAATTTTATTTGTTATCGGTGAACGACTGACTTGCAAAACAAGGTGTAATATAAAGGCCTGCCTGATTCCCTTGATTTGACATCACTTTTTTACTCTCATAGGAATCTGTTGTATAAGGATTTTACAAAATGGCTGACTGATGTTACCAACATCACTTTTACAGATACTATTGATATGACATGTGCCCGTTACGAGTATACTGGTAAGGAAGCTATTAGTTTAGAGCATCACAGCTTAGTTGACTACAAGTGGTGGTACAAGTGGTGTGAGTGTGTGCTAAACTTGGAGACAATATAACATATCCTAACTTTGGTCTCAGGTTGCAATCCCATTGTTGCTATCCTTGGGTTTCATCTAGAGGGCTAGAAAGCAAATATTATATGCAGCACACTTTCTACAAGAAGAGAAATTAGACTTTTGGTCCCATGTGTAATACAGCCCAAGTGCAGTGTGAAAGTGCAGTACACTCTTTAGAAAAGAGCAGAGGATTGGCCAAGTCACCACCAGAAGAACCCCACTAGAAATACATCTTCACACAGTGAAGAAAACCATATCACCAGTGGCAGACCATCAAGGCAAGCAAGATATGCAGTGCATACCCTGATTAAAACAAATATAGTAGTGAAGTTTCTCTGGGTTTTATTTAGCATATTTTAGTCAGAATCGTCTATAAAACCTTAATTTTGCTACAGTTCATTGGAATACCAACGTTTTTCAATGATTGGCCTACAGTACTTTGGTATCTATGATAAATCACAGTCGGGCCTATCGCATCGTACTCTCTCAGCTGCTTGGAATTTCCGCATGGCTTGTTTTCAATATCAGCCAATCGCGTATTCAGTGAGTCAATGGGAGTCAGAGCCTACCCTACAAAGCTTAAATTTGCTATTGTGACAACGGTGTGGTGGCGTCAGAATAGCCAATTTAACACTGGAATGGAAGCGGTGCTTCCAAGGGTGTGTGCGCATGTTCTTCTTCTCACAAATCAGGACCTCCATTGGCGATCGGGTATTCTATCTATAGGAATAATTTCAATGATTAAAGCTTAAATGAATTTGCATATGTATGACCGGTATAGAAGAAATTTTGAATTATTATTATTTGAATTCAAATTTGTTAAAATACAGGAATCGGAATTATTTTGAAGAGACACACAACCATGCCAGTATTAAAAATAACATACATTTGTATTTTGAATGTAAGACACAATCTGATTCTGTATACCGGTAGTAGTAGTAGGCTTTAATACAAACTTTTCCTACTAGCAGGCCCTAGCATCAGTTGCGTAGGAGTTTTGAAATGGGAGGGAGCTGATGCAGGTGGGATGGTGGGGGATCAATGATTAGGTGAGGGGGTTAACTCGCAAAATAAGGTGATTTGAGGTGATTTGACCTTTAACTTCTTGATTGTTGGCGGGGGGAGGGGAAACGCGACTAATGGATAGGTATTTTTTTTTTCAGGGGCAAATCCTAGATATGCTAATACCTAGTATACCCTGCAATTTAACCTACGGTCCACCACTGCATACCACCATATCATTTTATATCCATCACTCTCCATCGTTGTTTTACACGAGGTGTAAGAACACGTGTGAATGACCTATTAACTGAATATGAGATTTTAATTTGATTAGAAGGATCTGGTAATCATATGCCAATACTGTACACAAGTGTCATATAGCAGAATTTCTACCACGACCGCCTCTACGACTGTATTTTCATATATATCATATTCTTAATTTCAGAAAATTGATTTTTTTTTTTGGTACATTTTTTTATTCATCATATACATGTCATTCACAGACACTCTGCTTTGTCATGATGATGAACTTGAAGGGAGAAGAATAGCATTCATATTTTACTTGGTACCACCATGGAAGGAGGAAGATGGAGGGTCATTGGATTTATTTGATGTTGATGGTGAGGCAGCATCTTTATTAAAAATAATCAAGATACCTTTATTTCTGTAATAGTAAATGTACTGTAGCTTTTTGTTTTGCTAAAGAACATATAATAAATGTGTACACACATGCCAAGTGGAGAGTAAAGAAATTACTTAAGTATTGGTATTAATGTTTTAAGAACTTCCTTATTCCGATTTTGGAACATAATGAGTATTGAGTATGGCAACACGTCAGGTGGGGCAAAACATTGAAATCTTCAATATTCATGGGTAATTTTATGTATTTTTTATATAGAGGATGGACAACCAAAAGATATTATGAGGTCACTGCTGCCAAGGTTCAACAATTTTGTCTTCTTTGAAGTAAATCCAGTTTCCTTCCATCAGGTATGCGCACACACTGTCATTGTCATCATCAACGACATCGGTTTGCTTTTGGATTTATTTAAAAATTCTTCAGAGTTTCTCTAATACTTATTATATTTGGGAGAGGATATATATTTGTTTGCTTTCCTTGTTAATTTGTGTCTTGCCCATGTTGCCAGATTTCTTTAAATACTTTAAAATCAAGTTATATTTCTACAAATTCACAGTGTAAACATTGTAGAAAAATGGATAATTCAAAACAAGCAATTGCTTGTTACTTTTCACACTACATACACTAATTTTGTTCATAAAGGTTGCAGAAGTCTTATCAAAAAGTAAGTGTCGTCTGTCCATCAGTGGCTGGTTCCATGGTGAGACAATATCCAGACCGCCACCTTATATAGAACCAAGAAAGATCCGTACACCTTATCAGGAGATAGAGGTAAGTCATCTATTTATGAAAGAAAATAAATAGTAAGCAAATATTGTTTGAAGATTTTCATTGCGAGGTATAACAATAATAAATGCTTGTGGTAACCACATGGATAATTCTGAAAAGAACTGTTGTTTTTGTTGTCGGCTAAAATGATGACATCATGAAGGTCATAATTGACTTGTAATAGTAATTATTAATATTTTTTCATGTTACAGGTTCAAAGTCGTTTGTTGCTACCAGCAATCCTGATGTTGTTATTGTTCTGACAATAGTAATTAATCTTAGCACTACTAGTTCTTAATCTATAATTCATTGGTTAGATTTCTGCCATGATGGAACTGATTCAATATTTTTAATATACTGTATTAGATTTAACATAATTTTACATACAGATTATTTTGATAAAAATGATAAAATGATATTGTCTAAATAAGAAAATAATATTTATCAAATTATATTACATTAAAATATTGTTTTGACCCTTTAGGAAGAAATATTCTATGATTGGATCAGTCCTTTGTATTTAGACTTGGAAAATCAGACAGAAATCATGGACCGTTTCCAAGAGGATTCGGAGATTCAACTCCAGGGATTTTTTGCAGTCAGTATATTTTGACTTTTATTAAAACTGTAAAAACAGGTCTCCCTCCAGTTGAAGACCACTTTTGGGACTGGGGCCTTCATGGTCTTTGGTATCTAATTAGAAGAATAGAGAAAAAAGACATTTGTTATTTTTGGACCACAAAAAAGTGGTCTTTAATTGGAGGTGGTCTTTAATTGGAGGGAGACAACCTGTACATTTTCAATTTTATTTTAAATTTGGTCATTTGTTTTTGATTGTATAAAGTTTTTTTTTAACTGAATTTATTTATAGGAGGATAAATACAATTCTCTGTGTGAAGCCTTGTCTAATCATCAAATAAAATGGAAAAGACTTGGACCTGCAAATAAAAGGTAGGCACACTAGTTAAACAACAGCAAGTATAAAAGTGATACAATACCTCTTTTTCTTTTTTTTTTTACATTTTCTATAAAAAAAAAAATAAACTTCCTTTACTATTTCCAATTTCACTTCACTTTCACAATTTCAGCTAATTTCACACATATTGTTTTTAATTAGAATATAAAATTAATGTAATTAAATTTTTCATAAGACAAGAGCGACCGCTCACCGGTCTGTGCATTCATCCACCGCTGAAATACAGTAGAGGCACAAGTTATTATAATTGGGTTTTTTGGAAGAGCTAATAAGATAGAAATTTTTTTAATAATTAGAATGTTTATTTGTACAAAACAAATTGTTATTTAGAATGTTAATTTGTACAAATTAAAATATCTTAAAATTTTTTAAATTGGAAAAAAAAAGAATTGAATACCAAGACGCAATTCGAACTCAGAACCTAAATTAAGTTCTTTAGAACACATCCTTAACAGACTGCTCCATCCATGCGACGTGCGCTATTAGTGGTAACAGCCCTCAAAATTAGGAAAAAAGTATGTCGGCAAAAACAAAGTGAAAATCGCAGGCGCTATAAAATTGATGCTGGTTATAATGTCGGCAGTTTTTAGTTTCAGCTACGGCCCCGAAATTAACCCATGCTGACCTGTTATAGCAGTGATAGATGTCTTTTCAAGTCACCCAATCAAGCTGGAAAGCCTAGCTGCTATTCAAATTCACAAATAATTATTGATAAAATGTTGAACAATGTTTATGTTATGATGATGAACTAAGTACAAAAAAATACAGTGGAATCTCCGAATTCCGATTGACCATGGAAAACCAATTTCATGCTAAAACTAAAAGTTTTTTCCAAGTCCCAAAACCATTCCTATTCTTTCTGTAATAAAATACTTTCCGAAAACCGGATCTCCATATTCCGAATTCCGGACGTTTTATTCGGTCTGGAACATAGAAATCAAATTCAAACCCAACAAACAGTTAATAAACAACAAATTATCGGCGTTAATTTTGAGGGCGGGTGGTAATGGCAGTAATGTACAGTCTTGCTGAAACCCCTGTTTTGTTTTGTAGGTGTAGGGAAAACACTGGTGCCAACTTAAAAAAAAGGTTCGTTGGAAATCACCTCTAGTTTATGTGTATAAAATTTCTTGCACGTCCAATCAAAACTGGCGATGCTGGATGCTTTTAAAGTTCTGGTAACAAGAACAAGAACAGCAGTGAGGCTCTGAAGTCAGCACCTTGTGTGGACCCAATTATTTGTAAGCAGTACTGGACATCAATATAATATGTTTTTTAGGAAGATTATAAAGTTTTTTATGAATTAATGTTTCTTCAGACAATATGAAGTTGCAGACAAAGAAAGCCTGCCCTCTATAGTTCAACAATGTCTGTGTGTGATGAGGTCTGAAATGATGTTTCTGCTACTTTCTAACTTCACTGCCTTGAAGTTACATCCACTTGCACCTGATCAAGAAAGAAGTGATGATGAAGAGGAAGGGAATAGTGGAAAGAGAAGTGATAAAGAGGAGTGGAATGATCAAAAGGTAAATGATCAAGGTGAAAGCACAGAACAAGATGAAAGTTCAAAGAAAAAACAACTGCCTAATTCGGATGATGCTGGCGAAACCAGTGAATCATCAAAAAGTTTATCTACAGGTACAGTGAAAATAATGCAATATATCCATTAATTTTCCTTAGTTTTTTATCAAGGTTTTTTATATCCTGTAACTTTTATTTTATATGATTTTCAATTAACAGATCAGATTCCTAGTTGTCATGGTGATGTAAGGCGATGGCAACATGGTGACTATACATTACTTCATGACACTGATACTGAAGGGTCAGAGTTCGCATTGGATGCTATCGTATATTTTAACTGTAAAGGTAGATGTTGCATGTGATATTACATTAACCGTATTAATCTTAATTTCGTTTACTAAATATCTGTAAATATCCATCATCACATTTTTTTTTAAATTTATTTTTAATATTAACTTTATCATTTAACTAATAATATTACTGTACCATAATTTTTATCATTTTTTTTTTTTCGCTTTTCTTGCAGAGATTGTAAATTTTTAACATTTTAAATTTTTGTCTTTTCAATTGTTTAATTTTTGAATGTTTTTACCATTCTAAATTTTATGCTCAATTTTTAAACTTGTTTGGTGTTTGTCAATGCTGTTTATTTTTGTCTGGGATCCAACTAAAAATGAGCCAGCACTTGCTAGCTTTATGGGCCATCCTGATTCTCTATTCACTTTGTTTTACTGTTTAAATTGTTTTACTTTTGATTTGTGCAACTGTTTCTGTAATTTTTTGCGTTTTGGAGCACCTAATAAATTTCAAGTCAATTCTACTACTGGTAGATTTTAATTTGAGCAATTTGTTTTCTCCTGCACTTGATACATAATAATCATTTTATTTTTCTGAATTATGTTTTGAAGAATGGAAAAACGAATATGGTGGATTTACGTCGTACCTTGCTAAAGGTGAAGATGAAGAGGTAAATAGAGTCAACTCTGGCACATTTTTAAGGTGACATCACAAAATGAGTATTGTGCTAACAAACACGAAAAATGAGTTATTGATGTATTTAGACAGATGGCAATATAAAGCCCTGTCCAGTCTATCAAATTTAATTTGACAATAACATGTGACATGCCCAAATATATGACCATATATAAGCACAACATGACTATATATGAGCATACAACAAAAAAACTTAGTGTAAACAGAGCTTAGGCTTTATTTTGGTTTTTGAAGTTCCTAGGTTGAGCATAACCCAACTGAAGTAAGATCATTAAAAACACTTATAATCAATGTAAACCAACTCAGAACATTTACTAACCCCGAAAACTTTTGTACAAATGCCGGGATGGTGTCCGGCAGGGTATAGTTTTGCCTGTAGTTAAGTTAGTTAAGTCAGCCCTCCTGTTTTGTGCGGGGATTCATATGTTAAAGCTGTGCTTGTTTTGAATGCCCCTTTCCATTTCTTTTCAACATCTTTGTTCTTCATTTTTGCCACTTTACTTACTGATGTTTTGAATTGATTTGGAATAATGTTTACTTGATACTTAACTTGATCATCATGAAATGAATATTTTAAAGTATTCAGAAACACTGAATGGTGTAATCCAAAACTTGTCAACCCTAAAACCAAATTTTCACTTTTAAGTTTAGGAAAGTATTTATATCACTTAAAAGAACAATTATCTAGGCATTTAAAGCTGATATTTTTTTTTTGTGATAATATGGAAATTTTTTGCATATAATGTGACCAAATTTAAGAAAGTAATTAGTACAAGTGGCGTGATGGAAATCCCAATATTTGCTGATATTTTCAGTCAGAATAATTTCTAAGATTTTAAATTTGTACAAATTGAGGTAAAAAATGTTTTAGATGCATTTCTGAATTATTAATATTGGAGCATTTTTATTGGTCAAATTCTGTTGTGCCACCAGTTGAAACCAATTAATTTTTTTCATCACATTTTGGTATTATATGATTTTATATGTGTAATTTATGATTCAGCTTTAAAAATAATTTTGTCAAATTAAAATTAATTTTAAACCCATTTTAATATTTTCCGTCCCACCACCCTTATGAAGTATAATTTGTTTTTAAAAGTGTTTGCATTGATTCCAGTTTCATAATTCTTAACAATATCATGATTTTCAAGGTGTAATTTATGATTTCGGCTTAAAAAATTGTTTTGGAAACATAACATTTTTAAACCAAAAGAATTATCTAATTCCGTCCCGCCACCATAAGAACAAAGGAAGCTACATTATACAGTACCTTAAATAATGTTATAGAGCCCTTTAGTACTCTAACTCTGCCATTTCTGCCAAAATGTGCAGGGGGTATGAATGATCTCTTGAAATACAAACAAGCTTACAGTACATAATGCTCTATACCCTATCAGTGTTTCTCTGAAACCTTTCATGTCTTTACCTTCTTAAAATGTTCCATACACCTATGGCATGAATGTAGGCATCAGCAATGTTAATATTCTTTAAAATTTTACAGATAAACTTTAATTGTTCTAGGGAAAGCATCAAATTTGGGGTAATTTTAAAAATTTCCGTCCCGCTATTCTGACCATTTTATTTAATATTATTTTATTCTGATGAGCGAAACATTTAAATTTTATTGATATTGCCTATGGTGATAAAGCATTAGATGCTACTCAAAAGTATGTATTAAAATTTACAGTACCAGTTTAAAGTCTGAATAAATTGTGAAGATAACCTGTTGTCTTATTTTTATCCAATTTGTTCATTCCGTCCACCACCAAAATGTTTTTCGTTGCTATGGTGATTTGATCAAGTACTGTGTTTTCTGTTTTACATCAAATTGAAGTAGGTATCAGTCAGTACCTTGCTAAGGATCATAAGAGACAAGTTTCATAAACTAGACAGTTAGAGAACTAGATTTAAATAAATGTCTAATTTTCCGTCCCGCCACTGGAGGTGGGTTTTGGATCACACCCTGAAACCCTATTTCTACCGTACACATGACTCATTTTGTCAAGGCAATCAGAAAGAAAATCTTATAGCGCTTGTAACAAAGAATGTTTTTTTGTTTTGTTTTGGTTTTTTTTATTTAATATTATTTAACATAATTTCCCTCTTTTCTGCAGTTGTTGAGTGTCGCCCCAAAGGAAAACTGCCTGAGCTTGGTTTATCGTGACAAAGACACGCTGCGGTTTGTCAAACACATTAATCATCGGGCTACTGAGCATGCTTCAAGGACAAATAGCTCCACCTGTTTTAATGATATCTCATTTGTTTACTATGAATAAGGGTTGTCTAGTTAATGGCTGGTAAGATTGGGACAATCATCACAGCTGTTGCAAGATGTGATATTTTAATGACAATAAGTGTTAGAGTTCCTCGAATTTGCATAAGCGAATAATGTCTAAAAGATATTTATGAACAATGTACAGAAATGAACAAATTAAATCACACGGTTTTATTGAATTTCAAAATGAAATAATAGCAAAACCAGCTTTTTTATCTTGATACACATTATTCTATATTTGTTTATATTTGGTTCTTTTTGAAAATATATGGTCTTGTTTGAGTAGCCCACAGATATACTGAACTTGTCACATAATCATACAAAAGACGTCATATGCAAATGATCCGACAGCTGACAAAGTCATTGTTACGATTAAGTGTGCATACTTAGTTAATCATTATTTTCCTGTTAAAATCCAAACCTTTTCTTGGATTGTAACCATATTGTTTGATGTGCCAGTACAGTAGCTACTAAAACGAAATTCAATTATCAATAGAATTTTTAGTTTTAATGATTACATATATACTGCCATATAAATTTTATTTTAAACTTTTTAATTAAAACATGAATTACTTACGATTCCCTCACCAATTAAATCATGTTTACTGCTATAATAATTAACAAAATGCCTGTCTTTGCATAGACTTTTGACAAAAAATGGTAGTATGACCATATATGGTCATGATATGATGTCATTTTTCATCGTCTGTTTAGAATGTCACTAGTGCAAGCTGTTCATATTCAGATAAATTTACATTTTCTCAATAATATAATAATACAATTTTTATGTTCATTTAAAAAAGCAAACATTTGCTTTTTGCTGACTCATTCACAAATTTAAATTAATCAATGTTTGAAATATATTAAAATGAAATAAACACTTATTTCAAAAGAGCACCTTATCACTAAACTATCTGAAAATAAATTGAATTTCTTGGCAATTTATACCAATTCTATTAAAATATATAATTAAAATACAATTCACACCAAACCGAAATTTTATGACATAAAATACAGCATATTCAAAAGCAAATGTAAATAAATAGCACAAATGTATAAAAAATATTAAATGAGTGATTGCATTATTTTTGTTGGCAAACTGGAAAACAGCATTTTGATACTAACCAATTTCACTTCATATTATAAATTGTAAACCTAATACAATCTTACTGTGGGTATAACCATGCTATAAATATTTTTAACTCAGTTAAATACAAAAAAAAATTAAGACAATGATAACCAAAGCAATTAGAAATAATATTTAGCAGATAATAACATATTGTTATCACTTGTCATGAATAATTTTCCAACAGATGGGAATATGAAAGTACTGTAATACAATTCATACCATTTGTGGCTAAGACAAGCCAAACCAGTCACCTCGCAAAAAATAGATTTTGTTACATGTATGTAGTTATTATAATTAATACACAGTACTAAAATGAAAGTTATAACAGTGTTAAAGAATCATTTAAATCTGAAATTTTGTTATGTCTTCATAGCATTTAAATAACAGTAATTGAGAAATAATTAAGCCTTTAAATTTTATGATTTCAGACTTTTCACAGAGAGAAAAAAACATTGTTAAAGAATGTTGTTTTAACATAGAAAAATGAGGAAAATAGTAACATAGCATGATGTAGGTACATAATGTTTAGTTTACTGCAATAAAATAGATTTCGAAAATGTTGACATTCCAACATGTTTTAACCATTACTGTATCTCGAAAACATGATTTTTGAGAAGTGACTGGTTTGGCTTGTTTTCGCCACATTTAATAGCTGAGCACAATTCATTACTGTAGTGCTAAATAAAAGTTATCACACAATGTACAATGAATTTATAGTCCCACAATACCTAGGGTAACAGTGATCATACAACAAGGCTCGCCGGCTACTGAACATGAATTGGAGAAAGAGAATGTTCTACAGTATGTGTTCAACTTTTACTCCAAGGAACCACCACTTATTATAGTAGTGCATGATTTTGTTTGATAACCTCCTGGCAAATACCTTTACACTGATCCCAAGTGGAACACAACAGGTGTTTGGTTTTGGGCAAGCCCCACGTATAGTAGGCCTGTAATGCAAGTGAGTGAATTTGTGTAAACAGTTCTAAGGGAATATGAAATTAATGTAATTTGATACCAGTCTCTCACAGCACCTAGCTGTGATATACAGTAATGCAAGTACAATGTGTTTGGAACTCCAGTACAGATGGAATCCATCTTAGCATTGAGGTATTCATGGCCAAAAATAAAAAATGGGTGTATTGCGAATCATAAATATACAGTGTCTGTATAATGTGGCAATTTCTGGTGTCCCACGTATAGTAGGCCTGTAATGCAAGTGAGTGAATTTGTGTAAACAGTTCTAAGGGAATATGAAATTAATGTAATTTGATACCAGTCTCTCACAGCACCTAGCGTCAGGGACGGATTTAAGGGGGCCTTGGGTGGCCCCCCCCCCTCTACTCTTTTGGAAAGTTAAAAAAAAGAAAAAGAAAAAATTGATTGTCCAAAACACCTCAGAAGTTATTTTCGGGCATCTAGAAAACAAAAATTGCACGGGGGAATTCCCCGGACCCCTAGGGTGTGTTATCTCGATCGGCCCCACTTTCGGCCTCCCTTTTGGACATTTCTGGATCTGCCCCTGAGCATGACATGTCCAGTTAAGGGCCAACTACGCCCTATTGAACATGACTTGGAGAAAGAGAATTACAGTTTGTTCACTTTTTACTCCCAGGGACCATCACTATAATTTTACAGTGAATCATGTTCATACCTTCTTGCTTATTACCTTTAAGCTGATCCCAATAGGAATGCAGGTGTTTGGTTTCAGCTGTGATATACAGTAATGCAAGTACAATGTGTTTAGAACTCCATTACAGATGGAATCCATCTTAGCATTGAGGTATTCATGGCCAAAAATAAAAAATGGATGTATTGTGAATCATAAATATACAGTGTCTGTATAATGTGGCAATTTCTGGTGGATTAAAACAAATTAAACCTCTAAAACAAAGAAACAGTGAAATTTCACTGTTCCCTGCTAAAAATAAGTATTCTCAAAGTATTACACTGGATCCGCCCCTGTACCAACAGTTGAAAAACAAAGTATTACAAAATCTTTAAAATACAAAATCAATAATTTATGAAATAAAAATGATCTTCAAAAAAAAGAGTTCAAAAAAGAAAAAAAACAAACAATGTATACAAGGTACATGATGAATCAAATAATAAATAAAAACATCATTACAAACATCCACTTTTACCACAACAAATGATTTTATTTTATTTACTTTAGGCACACATTAACACATGCATCAAGGACTGTCAATAGTGAATATATCGCTGTCCTACTTGTAGGTGACAATTCCTTTGACAAGAATAACATTGATACATGATGCTTTACAAACTAAATCTCAATATGAGGTTTAGAGAAGTGGAGTTGTTTTAGTTGTGATAAAATAATAATGCAACACTGACAGGAATTGAACCCAGGCATCTTAACCACCAAGCTATTCAACTCCACTCAATTAAAAAGGACTCCTACAGTATGACCATATTTTCTCTATTGTATGACACTATATGTCATCAACAATTTTGCAGGTGTGACATAAGTCTGTAAACCAGAAGAAGACCAAACTAAGTTCAAAAGCTAGTTTGTCAGACCTAAATTTGATGCTAGTCCCAAAATTCAATATATTCTCCCATCACTTAAAGATGAGACTAGCCCAATAGTAGGCCTACAGCTTGTCTTTTTTCACAAACACAATAGGAAAGTATACAGTTTGAAACTGATTAGATCATTATTTATATTGTAAAACAAAACAAGCATGAAAGTTTACCATAGTAATTGGAGAATTTTTACTTTATGCAAACCTAAAATTATAAATTTATGTTTAAAATATATTTAGGGATTTTGTTATTTTCTTTCTCTATGGTTGAAATCATACATTTCACCCCACTGCTTCAAAAACTGCAAGGAACCCAAATCCAATAGCAGTGAAAAATACCTTCCAAAGCCCGTCACTTTCATTTTCATATTCGTGATTTAATATTTCAAAAAAAGTTACATAAATGAAAATACCAGCAGCGAAGGCTTGCAGGACGGCTGAACATGCATGGGCCGTGACACCCTGTGCTGAACTCACGCCTAATCCAAGCACAATTCCAATTGGAATCATTGTTGAGAATATCAGTCCATATAATACAAAGACTCTCTTGGTAGCATGTGATTTCAATAAGCTGGCTCCTAAAGCAAATGCTGCTAACGATTCGTGCACTATCATAGCGATTAAAAGATACCAAATCGTGCGAGATTCAGTCTGTAATCCCAAAGCCATACCTTCGAATACAGAGTGTATTGACAGTGCAAGAAGTAGAACTAAAGATCGCAGACTATTTATTTGTCTTCCATCACCAAGATGACTATGCCCACTATGGTTCTGATGATGATTATGATGGCGCTTTGGTATGCTACCATTTTTAAGCATTGGTAATCTGTCCGATTCATGACTACTAAATATTTCTTCTTCGCTTGAATGTTCACTAATTTCATTCAATCGTGTGTCTCTTCTAGTCATCTCTATTTCATCTAGGGTTGTTTTTTCCTTCATTGTGCACGTGATGACGCATTTTTCAAAAATGAGAATCAAAAAGAAACCAACAATGACCAGCAATTCACAAACAGGATAATCAGTGTCAATGTGTCTTTCTTTAACGATTTGTTGCACTTGTGTCTGTGCCGCAGGAAACAATCCAAGGAAACATGTTGCAAGGAATACACCACCTGCCAAGCAATTGCAAAAGCTTAAGATCCGCCCTTTAAAATTCCGTTCAACAGGCCCAGATTTGAATTTGCTTTTGGATCGGAAAAGGATCAATGGAGATAAGGCACCTAGGAATGTAGAAAGAAACACAAGACCCATAGATACAAGCTTCAACATCATCAAATCCTCCATGATTCCAGTGGTCGTTGAAATTGCTGGTGTGCTGGAAGGAGGTACATGTGTTGTGTAAGCAGAAGGCATTACAAATGTACTTAAATTCTGAGCTGTTGATCATCAAAATTAGCACCTTTCAAATGTTCATTATGTTCCTGTATTTTTAAGACATAAAAAGAAGGTTTTTTTTAACAACAGCAATTTCATAAGTGAACAGAAGACACACACAATTTTACATATTTTGTACTAATTTACCGGCTATATTTCAGTATATTCCATATGCATAAAAATCAAAGATAAAAAAAAATTGAACATGAATCTAAAGCTAAGCAGTTGCCCTTTCAACTCAACTCAACTGACAAGAACTAAGCTTAGCTTACGTATTGTTGTATTATTTATTAAATGAACAGAATGACTTCAGAGGGTCTGATCGTTTCTAGGCCATTTCTGCCAAGGTCATTTTAGACCTGGCCTAGCCCTTAATCATTTTAGCCTTTTTTATATAGGCCTAACAAGGCCTAGGCCTAAGTATATATTTTTTATAATTTTGGCTTTGTGTTACCCGCTGCATAGCCTTCTACAGGCTAGGGCTAGGCTGGGACCAAGCCCAAAAATAATTAATTTCGCCATAATTAAATAGCAAGACATTTTATCATGTTTGGGAAGAGATAGGTATGTAATAAGCTATGATGACAGCCCTAACTTAACAAGCTAGGCCTAAGAATAGAATGTAAATGTAGGCCTAGGCTTACAGGCCAGAATACTTGACCGTGTACAAAATTAATGTCACCTGATCCCCATTTGCTGCTCCTGCTGTGGCACTCAACAACAGGCGGAGCCGCAGCCTAACACAAACCTACCTCAACTGTTTGCTCAGACCCTCCAACATGCACGCTAGTAAACAGGAACATACCTTAAGCTTTGCTTCATTAAATAACCTAGAAATTGTGTTAGTGTTATCAACGTTACCTAAACACAATTTAATACTTTGCCAACTAACCACCAGCCACCACGACTTTCTTACGCACGTCAACTGTTACAACGTCCCGAATTTTGATGCAATGTTTATCCTCCGGTCAAAGGTTGAGTGCTCCGTTTCATTGAACACACTGCTATACAT